GTGATTTATAAACAGATAATTTACCCAAAACTTTTAGCTGAAAGTCTCCTCTTTATCAAACAAGGAAATAAATTCAAAAGAAACTAGGAAGGAATGTGCTTTTTTGTTGAGTGCAACCCTCCTTCCGCTCTGTTTCATATCAGTGGCTCACAGACCAATATTACTTCAGGCGTTGATAAAATATTAATCCCCCCGCCTGCCGAGCCTTTCTACAGCCCCTGTCTCACACATTCCCCTGATTTACAAACCATGCGTCCACCACAGCGAGCTGTGTGTGGGACTTCTCTCCTTCGTTTTGCACGACAGTGTCTTTTGCAAGTTTAAGATCGGGTCGCTTCCCACTGATCGTGAAAGCAGCTTTATAACGTATCTCATACTGTGCGTTTGGCTAGAGAAGGAAAGAAAGGGAGACTTGCTGCAATCTTTAGGGAAATGAACACCATCTGTGTTTCGCAACCTTCCAACTTGACGACCATTGTCAAAGAACCCTCCATTGGTGTTTTAAAAACTTCCTTCTGTACCCCCTGAAGGTCTGATTAAACAAAGATTTAAGTGAAGCATGAAGGTGACAACCTATAAAGGAAAATATACTGTATTATTATTCATTTAAAAGCAGCCTGTAACATCTCCCCCTCAAGGCTAGTCTAGTTAAGGATTTGAATTTCTGCCTCTCAAATCCCAGATCTAATATGCCTCATCTAAATACATAAAAGTAATAAAACAAAATAGTTTTTCTCTCTTTTTTTCCACTTGTAACAATAAAGGGGTTAATTTGTTCCAGGCAGCCGTTTAATCTCCTCCCACACACAGCCCTTAACCTTAGCTGGTGATTGTGAAACATGAAAAGAACTTTAGAAAAATACCCTCTTGTGTTATCATACAGGGAGAACAGGACAGCGAAGAAGGAAGGGCGCCAAAACTAACACCAGCAAAAGAAATGATTCACACAGCAGCAGTTTACATCTACACTTTCAACTTTACACTATCCATAGAATTGCAGGCAGAATAGTTACAGAGGAATCTCTGCTGTTATTCTGATTATGGAGATTATAATCACTGATATAGATATTTCCTTAAATGTCAGTGTTTGACGCATTTGTTTTTGAGTAACATTTTAATGTGCAATGATAAAAGAAAAAACAGATTTCTATCAGATTTCCTATGAACAGCACACATAAGGTCAGTGAAAGGCATGTAATACATTACATTTACTGTTAGTATTTAGAAAGTCATCTGATCAATCCAAGCATTAGACTGAGGAATGTGAAGTTCAAACAGAAAATCTGACATATTTTGGCACTTTGACTAATCCCGTTGGAATTAGTTGAATTTGGGCAATATCATGTATAAAAAGGTTACAGGATCAAAGATGATCAATGTTTCCATTTAACAAACTACAATTAAACGACAAGTTAAATGGATTACTGAGAAAGAGGGTGACTGGAGTTTTCTTAGCCTTTATCTTTTAATGAAACATGGAGTATTATGGCGCCAAAATAGGGACAAAATCATTTAAAACAAAAAAATTAAACACTGTAGAAAAGGATTTGAAGCTGAAGAGTACTAAAAAATGTTTGAAAGTACTTTTTGGGTTTTAAATGACTCCTCATCCGCACATTTTATTACAAATGTTTGATTCAATAAAATTTATATTTATGCTAAACATCCGTTGTCAAGAGAAATTATGAAAATCAGGTAGTAAAGCTGTTAGAAAACAGTTGGACCACAAACTTAATAATACCTCAGTTATACCCAGAGAAAGCAGCTGATCTGTTGACTCGCTCCTGTCATGATTTTGGTTATGTTGTGCTTTACTTTGCTCCTTTTCTAGTTTTATTGGTTGAATTCCTATTTTGTTGTAATTTCTAGATTTATGTTAGTTCTCATGTTTTTCTGTTGTCCTCTGTTGCCATCTTGTGTGTGTGTGTGTTCCTTTCCCCTTGGCTCCCTCGTTGTCTCCTCACACCTGCTCCTTGTCAGCTCGTTAGCCCTCCCTTTGTCTCTGTCAGCTATTTATGCTCACTCTTTGTTGGTTCCTCTGTTGTTGCTGGTCCTGTCATCGCTGCAATCGCCTCCCCTCGTCTCTCCCTGGCTCCTTCTACGTGTTTTCCCTTGATGTCTCCATGGTTCTGGTCTGTTACATTTTAGTTGGATTTTTGGACTGCCTTTGTTAACCATTTTTTCATTAAAACTACAAGTATTCACCTCAGCCTCTCTGCCTCTGCATTTGGGTCCTCCAAACCTCAACAATACGTGACAGCTCCTCTTACACACAGTAGTTCACTTAGGGACTGACTGTAAGTTAAATGATTTCTTTATAATGGAACATGAAAAAAGTATTTAATTTCTTCATAATAAAAAAGAAAATAATTCAAATTGGACAGAAAAAGAGTGGGCCTCATCTTTCTTCTCTAAAAAAAGGACTTGACAATTTTGTGTCAGTGGTGTGTGAATATTTTTTGTTTTTATTTATTTGGATATTGGTCTAGATATTTATTTATGATCCCTACAAGCAGCCAGACAGAATCTTTAAGTCAGCAGGTCAAACCGAGAAAAAAACAGCTCAACTATTTATTAAAGAATGTACAAAAAAAACACAGTGAAACTTTTAGCCACTGGGGGCGCTAGCCTTGCAACCTTCAGGCTCAACCCCCTGTAAAACTGCTAGCAACACTGCACTGTTGTAACGTTAAACTAAAACTAAGCTAAGAGATCACAAACCACCAGCTAGCAGCAAATTTTTCCCCATATTGTGACCTATAGCTAAAAGTCGCAAATTAAGTGTTCCTTGGCATGAGGTGCACCTTTGGTAACAATTTGCTAAAAATCCTTTTATACGTTTATAAAAAAAGGCACAGCACCTGTCTGCAGCCTCTGGTGTTTGTTCTGCTCTCACCTTCTTCATTCACTCTGCTTTCTTGTTTGATCAGTGGATTGAGACTTCAAGCGAGGCATGATTCACCTTTCCTGTTTTTGTCTTCAGTATACTACTTTAGGATTATTTTGAGTCCAATGCTGAAGCTGTCATTGCTCACTGCTGCCACTCTCTGGTTTAGAGGGGAACTGCTTGCTCCACCAAATCATTTTAAAGAATCATCTAAAAAAAATCCTAATGTGGATCATCACCAAGATTTAATTAACCGTGGACTGAGATTCACCTTTGGTAAAAATATCATTAAAATATGTGCATAACTTTTAAAGTTTTCTTGTACATAGATAGACAGACAGATAAACAAACAACAACTTGACTAAAAACATGAAATCCTTGGCGGAGGTCACAATGTAACAACAACCCCTCTAGATTCCACCCTACATCAGAGAACCGAATATATGTCTGATCATGTAAGTGTCATAACTGCTTCATCCACTAGCAACATCTTTTAGCGTATTTAGCAGTCACATTTAAGGAGAGCTCAGGTTGCCTTTGGGTCACATAACCCAGTCAGTGATCCTCTAACGTTACATAGGTGGAATGTTGAGAAGGTCGTCCCACATGGGGCATCGATACATGCCAACTGCTGTATACTGACCACAGAAATGATTTGATATATCTCAAATTAAGCTAATACTTTGATCAAAAGTTAGGAAGTGTTTTTTTTTTATTTCAGACAATTCATCACTGAATACAGAGTAATTTCTGACCTGTCTGACAGGCTCGATGAGTTGTAAAACAATAAATATACTTATATTCTAAAGTAATACAAGATTTGTACTATGTTTTAGTGTGCTGTAAGTCAAAGGAATGTACTTTCTAGAGTCACTTTAATTTCTCCAATCTAAACTGCAAGAACATTATCATGTGGCCTTTTGCCACTGGGTTTTAGTAGTAGGGGGGGGGGGGTGAGGTTTAGATCACATAAACATAAGATTTATATGATTTTTTAAAGACCTGTCTAGTTCCCATGGTTCTTGAACGCACCAGCTGGGAATATTTTGTTTAGGCACCTCAGCTGCCAATCATCATTCCACACCGCATATTATCTAATGCTGGGGGGCACTTTGAAATTTAAAAAAGTAGTTTTAAACATTTCTTTTCAGTTTCATTTTTATTTGTAGTTTTAAACCTTTTTATTCGACTCAAAAATATTTCTCAGAGTAGCATAGCACTCTGAGCACTGCCCAGTAGCTGGCTGAAAGAAGTCTTCCGCAGACATATCTGGCTGTTTATTCTCTGCAATACTGAATTATCAAACCAATGCCATGTATTCAATTCAGTTTATTTATATCGCGCCAATTCACAACACATGTCATCTTAAGGCACTTTACAGTTCACCAGATAATACAGCCAAACTGATTCAAAGTTTTCTATCTAAAGAAAACCAGTTGCTTGCGTCGACTCAGTAACTGGGATGCAATCCCTCACACTAAGCATGCTTGTAGCAACAGTGGAGAGAAAAAAATCCCTTTTAACAGGAAGAAACCTCCAGCAGAACCGTATTAGAGTTTTGTTTACTCTTTAATACTAGGCTATCTATTAGATAGCATGTTCTCTAAATGCAGAGATTTTGGAGCACCTCATGCCAGTTTATTCTTAAATAATCCTAAACATCAGGGTTCATTTTCACTTTAATGATTGAACTCTGAGAATCCTGGCTTTTTTTTCAGTTAGGCTTGTGAAAGCATTATATATAGCACTCTGCATAGATTTCCATAATGCAACCTTTAAGGTCATATATAGCACACATGCATTAATCTGGCTTTTAAAGTCTAAAGCATCAGTTCAGATTTTTTGTTTGAGATTATATTTCTAGAAAAAATGTACTAGAGCACATGCATTGAAAAAAAGAATAATAAATACATATATTTATTGTAAATCCAACACAAAGTAAAGTAGATTTTTATTTATGTATTAATATATTAAAAACCAAATCTAAACTAAAGAAGTGGTTTTAAATGTTAACTGTTGAAATGTTCAGGTTAGATGTGTGTCTCTAAACTACATGCATCTTGAACAGAGTGCACCACAGCCCCACTTGTTGATTTTTCTTAGAGGTACTCACCCACTTTGAACTGAGAAGTTTGGCCATTTGGGTCTTTGTGTTCCTCCAACAGCATCGTATGAAGAATACCAAAAGAGTTTTGAATCCCGAATATGGACCCGTTGCACCAGGTTGCAGCAAAAACCACAAGCCAGCCCCAGCCTCCCTCTGGCGGGACAAACCCGGCTCCCTGACCGTGTGTCTCCAGCTTTGCTCCAGCTTCAGCATCAGGCTTGAACTCCCCCTCGATCAGCTGGACGGAACTCTCCTCCTTGGCGATTTTGCTCTCGCTCCCCGCTGGTTGATCATCCTTGCTCCCATCCACCTCCAGCTCCGCCCGGGACATGTCGGTGGACGGCTGCGCCTCTAATCCGTTGATCCCCATGCTGTCTGGACTGGAGGAGAGGTTACTGCTGGATTTTGGAGTTCATGCCTTGCATATAGGTCACTGACATAATAGCGGCGATTTGAATAACAGATTTGATTGGCTATCTGTCAAACGTGTAAGACGGATGGTTCACTGGCACACCAGCCTCCTACACGAAGCCGAAGTCTGAGCGTCAACTTCTGAGAATGAACCCCAGGCTAGGAGCGATGCATTTCCCATTCTAGGCTCCAGGAATTCACTGGCCTAATAATCTCCCTTGTTTTACAGAAGTTTTTTTTTTTTCTGCCTGCAGAGAGTTAACCCAGATATTTATTTACTTGTGCTACTGGTTCCGCTCGCTGCGTCCGCTTCGATTCGGCAGCGCGTCGTCTTGTCACGCAGAGCGCACCCGGTCCGTAACATGTCGCAGGAAACCCGAACATGAGCGATTTTCCCCTGACACATTGAGGCCGCTGCAGATATAGGAAGGCCTGTGGGAGTCCCGCTGGTGGGCCGAGTCGGCTCTCAACTGTCAACACAGGTTCTACCGTCATTGAGCTGCTGCTTCCCTCCGCCTCTTTCCTCCTCTCCCTGGCGGACAGACTGCTGGAGCCAATGGCTTCCAAGCTATTCGCGTCCGATACTTCGGAGCGACGGAAAGAGACGAGTGTTTCCGAAGGGACTGCAACGGTCGTAAGCATGCTTTAGCTATCAGTAAATTTATCAGTAAACCTGATGCGGTTTTATCTCTACAAAGTGAACTGGAATAATAAGGTTTTTTTGTTTTTTACATTATAAACACCATGAACGAGCCTCAATAAGGAGGCTGCAGCAGCCTACTAGTCTCTTGGTCAGAGGCGGAGCTAGATGGGGGGCCAGTGGTGGCCACCATACACATAATATAAGAATAGACCCAGCATCGACCACTTTTATCTATGAGCACTGACGTGATTTGGTGGCACCATCTTGGGGCGGTTGACAGCTCCGCTCAGTGTAATTGTTGAGCAGGAACAGGATCAGTTTGAATCAACTTTAACTCTCTGAATATCGTAAAATTTTCACAGTTTAGTTTTTTTTTCTGAAAACACATAAATAGTTCAGTTTATTTAAATATTCTTCTCTATACAGGTATGTATATATATATATATATATATATATATATATATATATATATATATATATATATATATATATATATAAACAAACTATTTTCTCACACCTCATGGGGTGGTATGTGTCATCCTCAAGCTCGGGTCCTCTACCAGAGGCCTGGGAGTTTGAGGGTTATGCGCAGTATCTTAGCTGTTCGTAGAACTGGACTTTTCTGGACAGAGACCTCTGATGTTTTTCCTGGAATCTGCTGTAGTCACTCTCCCAATTTGGGGGTCACAGCCCCCAGTGCTCCAATTACCACTGGCACCACTGCTGCTCTTACTTTCCACATCTTTTCTAGCTCCTCTATATATTTTTAAATAAATATATATATATATATATATATATATAGACACATCTCCACATGTCTATATATATTTATATATACATATATGTATATAGACACATCTCCACATGTCTATATATATTTATATATACATCTCTCTCTCTCTCAATATATATAGATATACATCAATATATAGATATATACATATATTTTTATATATATTCTGTAAAAAATATTGTTAAATACTGTAAAAATGTCCACCGCCGTATTAATGATCTATTCTTCAGATGAACAGTATTTATGTGTTTTGGCTGTTTTTATTTTTTTATTTTTAGTGTTTTATGTTTGATTTATTTATTTGTATTTACAGCACTTTGGGCAGCTGTGTTTTTTTTTTAAGTGCTTAACAAATAAAATTGGATTGGATTTTTTTTTTTTTTTACTCTGTCACTTATGCTATTATTTTTATGCACTTTATAAGGTCCAAATTTGTGTGACCACATTTGCTGTACTAATTTGTTGCTGGAACGCCACAATTTACCCACTGTGGGACAACAGAAGGAGTTTCTATTCTATATAGTGTATATCTGCTGTTTATTTAGTAATGTCTTCCAAACCTCTGATGCCTTCATGAAGTTATCCCTTGAGGTCTGATGTTAACAGCCTGTTGATTTAGACAGAAATCTGTGGAAGTGCTCAGGCATCCTTCTTCTGTTCTGCTTTAAGCAGCAGGTTAGGGTCGCAGATCGACCTCCCCAGAATGGCACCCCTAATTCCTGCGCCGCAACAGTCAATGTGGAGTCTACTCTTATATTATGTCTATGATGGCCACCCTGACCCAATCATTGGCCACCCCTACTATTTTTTCCCCTAGTACAGATGGTGGCAGCAGTAATACTCTCTAATACTTTACCAACATCAAAGATGATAAATAAAGATTTCATGCTTTTTTCAGACAAAGATTTTGTGTTATATGGGGTAAAGAAAAAATGTGTCTCTGCAAATCATCTGGGAGTCTTCAGTGAAATTATAGATAAATAACAATTTTAATAAAAACTTATCAAATAAACTATTTATGTAAATATTAGTGCTTGTAAATATCAATTCTATGCAGAATGTTTATTGATACAAGTAGATAAGTAACGACGATGGAAAAGATTTACACCCCAGATCTCAAAACTGAAAGAATTTTATCCACTATACCTTTTAATTGGAAAGCACGGATGTTTAAATATATAACTCTTGTTAGAAAAAGGCTGTAGGAAAGTATAGTTTGTCTTTATTTAGAAAACATGGATGTTTTCCTTTTTAATTTTCCTTTTGGAATAGTGTAGATTGACCCTGAGGTTCTGGCGCCTATCCGCTTTCGGCAACCCCTCAGTGTACGATGGTTATTGCCTGGCCCCCTTAAAAAAATGTTCGGGTTACGCCTCTGGTCTTCGTGAATAAGAATCTAATTTAAAAAAACATAATTTTGATTTATTTGAGCCTAGAAAACTAAAAGTCACAAATGTTCACTATTTCCCTCAGTTATTTTTGTGGTGATATTTGTGTTCCACGTCTTACCACAGGGGGTCAGTACTGGTTCTATCAAGGGGTGATTACCATCGTAAGGGGCAGAGCAAGACAGACAGACAGGAAGTTGCATGTAAGATGTCTGAGATACAAAACAATAAATGGCTAACTGCTGGAAAAAAGTTTCTTTATTTGAATGAAGAACAAAACAATTTTAGATTATTATCCAGCCAAGAACCCCACATTTCAGTGTAGGATTAATACTGGAGCTAACACAATGCAATTATGGCCTTAATTTAAATTTCAGCTTATGTATATCCTGTAGTCTAATTGAAAAAAAAAAAAAAAAAAGTTAGAATTTTTTTTTGAAAGCATACATAGCAATAATTAATATATTCTATTAACCTAAAGCAATATGCATTGTATGGCGGTTACATGTCAGGTACGCCGGTCTTTGACCTTGACCACCTTACAGTAGAACTGCAGTCAGTCCCTGGACTGGCATGCTACATAGTTTGGGACAAATTTCCCACTGGGATCAGCTTCATAGTCATTGTAGGACACGTCTTTGATTTGATTTATTTTGCTCAGGCTTCTCGTAAGCCCACACATCGAATGTTGAAAGGGAAATATTATTGCCATTTCTTTTAATATATAAATTTTACACATCCAGTAATAAAATGTCACAGGAGATGGTATGGAGGGATGGTCATTTAAGAAGGGGGTGGATTTTTAAGATTTCTTTTTAAAACGAGGGATGGCGTCCCCCCAATCCCCACTCAACTTGAGTACTGTTTATATCGCTCGAATTTACTACACGTCATCTCAAGGCTCTTTACACAAACAATGCAATCAAATCATACAGATAGATTGGTTAAAAGTTTTATATCTAAGGAAACCCTGCTGATTGCATTGAGTCATTTACTTTAACAGCATTTGCTCCTCTTGCATTTGTTCCTGTTTAACACATTTAAGGTGAAGAGTTATGAATTTACAGCTGTCCAGCAGACACTCTCCAGTATTATAGGCTGAGATGCAATGATTGTTACCACTGTTTCTGGCTGGTCACAAATTTATGTTTTGAATCATAATAATAGAAAATTAGTTGGAAGGAAAATGTGGTTAAAAAAAACAACTGCCACAAGAAACAAGTATAAACCCATCCTTGTATGTATTTTTCCATCCCCTTTGTGTTCGTTTGGGGGGTAAATAAAATGGAGTGGGTATACGTGTATAAATATCTGGGCGTCCTCATTTTTAAACCCCATGTACAGTATTGCTTCTTCTCAATGTCTCAGGATGCTGTACTACATCTCCTCTCTAAGGTTTAACAACAAACTGGTAAACGTCAACACACCATAGTGATTTATACTTACGGGTGAGATGGTCTGGTTTGGCTGCTCGAAGGAATTCCCAGTAGTTAACTTTTATTTATAAGGCATCAATTTGGACTGCTCTTGGCCTATATATGTTCTGCAATTAGTCTGAAAAATCTCGACTCATATAGAATTGACTCACACAACATGCTGTTTCTTTCTGTCCCTTTTCCTCGGACTCAATAAGGCAAAAAAGCCTTTGGTGAGTTATTTCTGTCCTCCTGCAACACGTATCAGCAAACTTAGATATTAACTTTTAATTTCAAACTAAGTTTTTGAGGCTGATTCAGTAACATAACAAGTGCAATAACCCAAGTCAACTACTATGTAGTCTTTCCTTAGCTTTCTTTAGCAGATATTTTTATATCTAAGGGTATTATATATTCCAGGGTATTACAACTTTTTTCTTCTCTTTTTATGCTTTTCTGGTACTATATATACTCTTTTTATATTGTCTGTCATATTTTATTCTTAAATGGCATTTTGCTTTAACTCTTAGTACTCTATATGACTACTGGAACCAGAATTTCCCTGAAGGAGTAATCCAAAGGGATGAATTAATTTGAGTCTAAGTCTTACATGGACCAATTTTACATAATTGGTTTTTGTTTTCTTTTTAATATGTGTTTCTACCTCTCCTGTTGGCTCCTCTAAAGTTAGCTTCTTGCTAGCTAGTTCATTATTAATATGTCTGTTGTGAAGTAATCAACTCAAGTACATAGAAATCTGAGTTAGCAGTTTTTTTCTTGTCACATTCAAAACAAAAATGTACTCATACTCATTGTATTCTGCTGTATTCATGACCCGGTCGCGGGGGCAGCAGTCTCAGGAGAGTCTCCCAGACTTTCCGCTCCCCAAACGCCTTCAGCTCTTCCGGGGTCAGCTCACAGCGCTCCCAGGCCAGCCGAGAGACATTGTCCCTCCAGTGTCCTTAGTCGTACTCCCAGACTCATTCCAGTGGACTTGCCTGAAACATCTCCCAAAGGAGGCACATAAGACATCTGGAAAAGATGTCTGAGCCACCTCAACCAGCTCCTCTCAGTGACCGCCTGTTAGCACCCAACATGCACTGGGAACAGGTCTGATTTAATGTCAATGTGGACCAAACAACTGCTCCACTTGTAAAATGACCAAGGGCCCCTAATTAAGGGCCCCTGACCCAGTACTCTAGGAGTGCCCTACACAGGGCACCTATGCCTACATTTCATAGGTTCACTGGGTGTTGAATATACAAGTGAATGAATCTCTCTTAAAGCAATGGTAAGCCAACGTTTCTACATATTTACT